CAGGAACGCGATGTCTCCCCTCGCCCTGGCCTCCCTTAACATCGGCATCAACTCCCTTCTTCTCTTCCTCACAGACTCGGTGTAATCTTCATTTATATAAATATTAGATCCTTTAAGCTTCTTTGCTTGTTGCAGTATGTGTGCCTTATCCTTCTCTTTCATCAACTTTACCATCACCGCCCTCGGACCATGATCAGAAGGTTTCCCGACTCTGTGAGCCCGCTCCATCTCAATGTCTTGATGAATTTGCAGTTTCTCCTTTAATACTTCCTTCACTTTACATTCTGCTTCCATCCAGCTTTCTCCAGCCGTCTCCTTGATTCCCTCAAAGATCAAGTTTTTTCGCTTGGACTGTACTTCCAAATGCTCCATTTTATCCGTTATGGCTATTAGACTCTCACAAGTTTTGTAGACGTCATCCCTTGTCTCCTTGGTTTGTATTTTCTGTTCACCCATGGCTGCTTTAATCACATCCACCTCTCGTTGGGTAAACTGCAAACTCGTTTTTATCTCCTGTATTTCTCTGGTCATGTCGTCGAGTCTCTTGTTGTTTGTCTCCATAAGTAGTTGCATGAAGCCTTTGAAGTTTTCCTGCTGTTGGTTCATCAGCACGATGTACATCTGTTTCTGCTGATCCAGAATGTCTGTTACTTGCGCCGCTCTGTGATAATCTTCTTAGAGGATTTAAACGAAATGTCACCAAGAGACTAAATGTGGTTCTTAGATCTTTGGTGGGGTGGCACAATGGTGCATTTATTAGCACTGTTGCCTCACAGCAGCAAGGTTCCAGGTTTGAACCTCATGGCTGGCTGAGTTGGCATATTCTCCCAGTCTGCGTGAGTTTTCTCTGGGTACTCCAGCTTCCACCCAGAGTCCAAAGACATGTGGGTTAGGTTAAATGGTGACTCAAAGGTGTGAAAGGTTGTCTGTCTCTGTGTAGCAGCCTTGTGATAGACTGGTAAGCTGTCCACGGTGTACCCTGCCTCTCACCCACTGTCAGCTGGGATTGGCTTCAGCCCCCTGTAACCCTCTACAGGATAAGCAGTATAGATAAAGGATGGATAATTCCTGGAATGCACATTTTTGAATGGTGTCATGTCTTGTTTTGTTTTTTTTGTTTTTTTTAAAACAGATCAGTCGCCTCACCTGGTTCACAAGGTTTGACCCCGTGGAGCCCAGAGAGCAAGTCTTCTCAATGGAACTAAGCAGTAAGACCTTAGAAGTAATCACAAGTAAGACGGATGAGACAGGAGTTACAGGCGGAGAGCAGGAGACCAGTGGAAAGCACAGGAATGGTGTGTGTTTGACTTGTCTTGGCTCTTTTCCATCTGTCATTCTTGCTGGTCAACACACCTACTCAACATTTCATTGTGTTTTTGCTCATCATTGTAACTTTCCAGACTCTTCATCCTCTGAACCCAACATCCAGAGCCCATCCAGGCTGATGTCTGCCCTCTACTGGCTGTGTGGAATGGAAAAACGGAAGGAGGCAGCAACTCGTCTGAAACCTCCTGCACCTGAAAAGGCTCTGGAAGAAAAGCCACGTCTACAGCACATTGTGAACACCAACCTCATCATTTGCATGTCTGTAACTGCCTTTATCATTGGCTACTGGGCCTGACAAGCAGGGTAAAGTATGGCACTCTTAATGGACTCATGGGGTATGGATTGTGTAAAAGGCTGTGTACAGATTTTAGTTTTGTTTTTACCGAGTATGAGAACAAAATTTAATTAATTTTACAGTTAAATGTGATGTCCATGCAGTGACTTCCTTCAACACAAATGGTTCCTTGCCATGGTGTAATTGTAAAATTAATCATATAAACATTTCAATTAATTTGTAGAACTTTGATTAAAAAAACAAAAAAAACACCCGTTATCTATTTCCACATTATAGCTGAAAAGCCGAGCCAAACCTGGCATATACTGATTGCAGATTTTTTTTTTTTTTGAAATTGACCTTTGTCAACAATTAAATGTTGACAAAATGACAAAGCTGACAACACCTTAAAATGTTGAACCTTTTTTATTGAAAGTAATTTATGCATTGTATGATGCAATATGTGCAGAAAAGTCATAAAAATGCAGTTAAAACTTTTTTAAAATATCAAAAAAAGCAGAAAAATACCCAAACAAGGTAAAGACTGTCAACCATACTAAACTTATACACAGAAAAGATTTTAATTATTTGGCTGTATTTAGTCATAGCTTTAAGTTTGAGTGAGAGTGATTGGTTACAAGCTGCAAATACATTTTTCTTTTACAAACAATCTGGAAGGAAAAAAACCCCATTAATAATAAAAGCTAATCTTTGAGCCAATTTGAACTTGGTACATTAGGTCAGTTGAAAACAAAATTAAAGGCTAAGGTTGGTCATTTTCTGTACAGTACAGTATGTTCAATGGTGCCCATAGACTAAAACCAATGAACTGCCTCTACTCACAGTTGATGTCCGTCAGTCTCCAACCTGAATTTGCTTCTTGATCTATGCCACAGAACTCTGCTGTTCAAAAATTATTATAAACACACCACTGCAGCGGGTGACATGTTTCTTCATTACGAAACAAACCCACATATTTGTTAAAGATGTTGTCCTAAAAGCTCCAGGAGAGCAAGGAGCTAGTGGATGTGGAAACAAAGCACAGAGATCTCATGCATGTGCAGGTGACTCTTGCTACTTCAGATGCTGTAAAGTGTTAAGTCGCTTGGAGCTTTTGGGGTAACATTCTCACAAATGTCTGGGTCTGGTGTTTAGTAACTAAGAAATGTGTCACCCAGTGCAGTGGTGTGTTTCACTGATGTGTTTGTAATAGTTTGAACAAGCACGGACGAATAAGCTAATCCAGGTTGGAGAGTGACATACATCAACTGTGAGTAGAGGCAGTTCGTTGTTGGTTTCAGTCTCTGTGTGGGGAAAATACGATTAATACAGAAAAGTGTCCAACCTTATACTTTAAGTTCTATGGAAGAGCACTTCATTCACCAAAGAAAACAAATTGGATGATCTTATTTGGTAATTATGACTATTTCACACTTACAAGATCCTGATTTCATTATTTTTCCTCATCATTATGAGATAATGCGGGGGTTGGAACGCTGCAGAACTTGCCTGAAAACGATACAGTACATCCAGTCGTGCATAGTAAAAGGTAATTCAGCATACTTGGTGTTCCAAAACAAACAAATATAGACCACAAAGAGGCTTCAAAGTAGCAGGAGTTGCAAAGATTCAGAACCTGCTTGAGAAACACTGGGTTTTTAAGATTTCTTCAGTAGGCTGTTTATGTAATTCTGCAAAATGAATAGTGTTCCAGGACGTAAACAAATATAGCTAAAAAACGGCGCCTGGATTGTAACACACCATATTCGTGACAACACTGCATAGCCTACTTCCAGTTTCTTGTCAAGTTCACATCTGTTTGCATGAGTAATTATTTATTAATGCTTTGTCATAATTACAGGATCCAGATCCAGCTTATGTCTGCTATTTAAGAAGGCAGATACTTTTACAATAGTATAGTAAGTATGTAGAAAACAAGTAGAATGTTGCCATAGATATAAGTTACTGTGTACCTATATTTCTTTATATTTTGTGACATTAAGTACACTGAATAAACTATTATCAGTATATTTTTGCTATGTACTCACAGAACTGCCTTAATACTGAAGAAATCTTACAAACCCAGTGCTTGTCAAGCAGGTTCTGAAGCTTTCCAACTCCTGCTTAGTGCATGTAGTGAGTTGCACTGTAGGCAGTGACTTTGAGACCTATTTTCAGTCTATATTTGTTTACATTTTGGAACTCATAAGTATGCCAAATTAGCTTAGCTAGTAACGGTTCACTTTTGCTATGCACTACTGGATGTACTGACAACTCACAGAATAATTTTGATATTCAAGGATTTTCAGGCAAGTTCTCCAGTGTTCCAACCCCTGCATTTTCTTGTAATTATCAGATCAGGATCTTGTAATTATGAGAGAGTAAGTCATAATTAAGAGAAAAAGCCTCCAGATTTTTCTTTGGTGAATCCAGTGGCCTTGTGATCTACCCCACTCTGTTACTAGATATAATGAAGTAAAAAACAAAAACTGTCTGAAATAGAAAATGTGTG